ATTCGGTTGTGGGTATGCCAAACGTTGGTAAATCCTCTTGATCAATTTCTGTCGGACAACGTTCATGGGCCAGCGACCAAAAGCTGCGATAACTGGTAACGACCCAGGAGTTACAAGAAAGGTCGGCGGGCCGATCAAAATCATGGACAAAGATCCATGCGGGGTCTACCTGTACGATACACCGGGTGTCTTTGTTCCATACGTTGCGGATGCAGAGACCATGGTGAAGCTCGCGACATGCGGAGCCGTGAAGCAGTCCATGGTGTCCGACATCACCATAGCGGATTACCTCCTCTACCATATTAACAAAAACAAGCCTTATGCGTATCGAAAATGGTGCGAACCGACCAACGACATCATGGAACTCCTCTCTCAGTTCGCTATGAAAAGCGGCTGCATTGCAAAAGGAGGAGTTCCTGATATCAATATGGCGGCGCGAAAGTTTCGACATTACTGGTTTTCAGGGAAATTCAAATATTTTGTATTGGACGATGTATTGTCCATTACAACCGTCAAACGTCGAGAGCTGCAAGCGCAGTTCAAGGGCATGTTTGATGAAAAGGAGGCCAACGAAGGAACCCAGGCGACGCCTTCGATAAACGTGGTAGAGCCCTAAGGTCATCCGATCCAGTTTATATTCCATTTCTGAGCATTGTCTTACTTGCATATATACCCAATTTCTCAATACTTCGATGATTCTTGCAGCGACACGGCATGTATAATACATTGGGAGTTCTGAGAACTGTTCAGGAGCTAGGTTAGATGAATACAAAAAGAAATATACCCAACTCCGACGATAAAAACCATGCAAATAGTCAAAAGGAAGACACACAACACAGCCATAGTTTATAGTATCTTATCAAGTAACCTTCGCCTTCGCCGGTCCACCAGCTCCTCCTGGACTTCGTCTAGCGTAGGCAATCTCCATCCGACACCATCCCCTCCATCGCCTGGAAGAGGTTGCCAGCCTTCCTCTACAGGCCCATCGCCTCTTTTCAACATATTCGAGAATGCCTCTTTCTCCTTCTTACTCTCATATGCAAGCAGCGTACCGTCCTCTTCATCGAGCCCGTATCCAAAATACGCCGCATCAACATGTTTCCGCAGCATCTCATTCTGCCCCCCACCCGAATCTTCCAGCTCATCCGCACCCCTCTTCCTCGTCGCAGCCTCAAACATCTCCTTCACACCTGGCAGCTCCCGCGCCCTCCCAAAATACCTATACCCCTTCCCGCCACCCGGTATCTCCCTCCCATCTTCGTCATACACCCTGCCTCCCCCACGCGTATAATTCGGGCCGCCTAGATTCCGTATCTGCACCTCCCACATCCACTTCTCCCGCATCAATTTATTGATCTCATCATTTAGATCGCGAATTTGGTAATCGCTCAGGCTCTGGTCTTGGATGCGCGTGACTTTGCGCGAGATCTCTTTGAGGACTTGGCCGCGCCACTTCTCGCAGATGGGTATGGAGTCGACGGAGGTGATGGCTTTGGGGCGGCGGGTGCGGCCGATGTCAAGGATTCCGAGGTCGGCGGCTTGGGCGGCACGAAAGCGGAAAAGCATCGACTGTGCTTTTTCGCTGTTGCGGGCCTGAAAAATGGAATTTCGTTGGTGAGTGGCATTTTCATTTTTCGCGAAATGGGCGCGTTTAGAAAGGGACTTACCATGACTGCGGGCGAGACTGGGATAGGGGCTCTTGTGAGAAGTAGTTGTGTAAAAGAAATCAAATCTTTCAATTGATGGAATGATGAGCTCCAAAGGCTATCAATCAGGCCTTTTGGTTTCGCCAACAGAGATATGGTAGAATGTCGCTTATCTCGCGGCGTTTTGATGTTGCAGTCTGCGAAACCAGTTATGAAGAGAAATTGCAGATGACCCCAGACTTGAAATTCAAACTTAGTGGATCTAGAGAAACATGGCTAAAGGCATGGAGCAGAAAGACACATAAGAGCTTAATCTTCTAAATGATTGATTGAGATGACTGTTGGTGCCCATAGAATGCTCGCATGAAACTTGTATGTTTGGCGCAGCGCCATTTTGTTTGCAATGTGGACGCTATGGGCTTCCGTACGCCACTATCACGAGCAACAGCAATGAACTCGAGATGGGGATTAAATTCCATTATTGTCCCTCCTCCGAAGGATTCAGATCACATTTCTATTTTCCATCATTCTGCCATCTCCCTCACTCACTCTCTTGCAACCCATCCCTGCACCCTTGCATTCACGATTATTGTTGGAAGAACTCTACTCTAGCCCTGCCGTTTCACACTGCCCAAGGGTACAGAATGTGGCTCGCTCTGCCACTCTGACCCTGCCTCAGCCCGATCCTACCCCGGGTGTAGAGGCAACTGCGATAGTGCCCGAATACCCCGCGGACAGTGGCACCGCTGACTATGGCAGATTTCAAACCGAAGAAGACATGATCATCAATGATCTTGACGAACTAGCGGAGTCCAGCGACAGATACGAGAAACAAAATAACTCGCGCGTGTTTTACCCAATCCGCATCGGAGAGTTGCTCAATCGAAGATACCACATCAATCATAAACTTGGCCATGGCGGCTTTTCTACCGTTTGGATGGCCCACAATCTTCAAACCCAGTCGGATGTCGCCCTCAAAGATCATGTCTTCGGGTGATTATGGCAAGCATGAATATCACATGCAGGAGGTAATTCTTCAAGATGTCCAAGATACCTCTCACCTTGTTACATATCTGGGAACTTTTCTTCTTCATGGGGATGGCTGTAACCACCGAGTGCTGGTATTTCCCTTGCGCGGTCCTGCTGTCAATTGGGATGTGCCAACAAGGCCATTGCCAGCTCATATGTCTGCTGCTCGACAGCTCTTGGAGGCGCTAGCAAACCTCCACAAGAGTGGAATCGTGCACCGTGGTAAGTACCCGACTTTTCTACTAGGCAATACTTTCTCAATTTACTCGTGGAACCTATTCATTGTCACGCATGCCAATTTACTCAAGATTTAAATGGAAAGAATGGTATGTGGGGTATAGCTTCTCTCAGGCATCTCAACAAGGATGCTAAATACAAAAAATTTGGCCGGCCTCTGAAAGAAGCAATACTACCGCATGTTCCTAATCTCTGGAAGCCAGGAGAACTTATTAAACCCATTCAGGTTCCTGAGGATTTGCGCACAAATATGTTCTATCTTGGTGATTTTGGTCAAGCAGCGAAGATTGGTTCTTCAGCAATTCCGGCTGGCGAACCACCTATCCAGTATTGCTCGCCTGATCGGCTTCATAAGAAAGGCTCAACTCCCGCCTGTGATATGTGGAGCTACATGTGTATTTTCGCCCAGCTCTATATTGGCTGGGTTCCCTTCAATATTTATCAGCGTGGGATAATCGCCAGCATCATCAGAATCGCGGGCCCACTACCTGAGCAATGGAAGGGCCATTATGTTGATCCTCACGACAGCCGTGATGAATGGTATTATCAAAATCAGCCTTTTAATCCCGAAGCCGTACTGAATCAGTACCTTCGCAAGGATATTGACCCAGTTGAGCGGCGACTCGTGATATCAGTGATGTCTAGAGGGTTTTGTGCCGGTCCCGAGAAACGTCTGACGGCAGCACAACTTTTACAAGACCCTTCATTTAAAGCTATCATGGATATATATTGCCCTTGATGTTGTTTCAGCGTCTATTTTGTTGTGTGAAGGTTTTTTTTGGTCGTGGAGAGCTGTCTCATTTGTTTGTATTTGGGTGCTTTGCTACAGTTCATTATAAGATCGCTGATGCTCCCTCCTGTTTCTCGGCTTGAGATGGTGTTGATTAGAGCGCAACAATACTCGTCTCCAGCGCCGAAAAGGCTCTTAGAGTCTGGGGTATTATTCGAATATGAAGACAACAGAAGAAAGGGAGGTGGCTTTATGTAGTGGCTAAACAGAGGTCGAAAGATAACGACTCTGTAGAACAAAAGGGGCACAGAGGTCACCCCAACGTCTTGAAGGGTATAATTCCTACCTCGCTGTCTATCTTGCCTGCAGACGTTCTTCAAGTAGCCCTTCCTGTCTTCTGTGCAGTTCTCTTGGAAAAGCCGCAAAGCCAACGCCCCAAAGGCACGATGAAGCTGTCTCTCCTCGTCCTTGGATATCTCGGTAGTCTCGCCTCTGCGAGTTTCGCCGAAACCCGCGTAGATATCCGTCAGTTCCATTGGTTTATTGGGGCACAGTGCAGGGTAAGGGAACGAACCTGGCACCCGTCAGACCTCAATGGATATGAACTATTGCTTCGCGAATGAAAATGGAAGCATCGTTCCCAGATCTTGGTGTGTAAAGAAGGACAGAAACGAAAACAATCAAGGGATTTCTTACTGGAACTCGTGCAAAAGAGGTGAACAAGGGGCCCGTCTTGCGGTGCCGATGCCAAACGCGAGGCGGTCGTTGGGTCATGTCGAGTAGTGATTTGCGGTAAGTCGGGAATGTCCCCCATCCTGGTAACTAGCTGAGCCAGTAGTTAGTATACTTCCAAGATAATTTAAACAATCTTCTGTGGTGGTCTGTCACTACTCCGTACATAGCATCGACTTGTTTCTTAACGAAAAAAGCCGGCACGTGGATGGCTCCATGATCCCACTGGCCCTTAATAGTATTCGGGGATAGGGTCTTCCTTTTTCCCCTCCGTCGTCCCTGGGCGTGCAACATCGCAGGGAAAGAGTATGTCGGGATGTGCCTCCACCTCGAGAATGCGTTGATCGTATCAGTTTTGTTGAAGAGGGGGGTTGAAGATAGCATCAGCTTCCCTTTCAATCCTCAAGTAGACCCACGACGATCAAACTGTTGCGCTGATATCCGAATTGTGCGGCTGGTGGTGGTACTTTAACCGCTGTGATCAGCCCGATATTCGAGATGGTACTGCAAAAATCAAAGATTCCGTGTCCTTTGTGAGAATCAATGCAGTCCGGCGAGCAGATCAAGCAAGGATCATTTGGCGTGGAACCACAACAGGAGTCAGCAGTCATTACAATAAAGTAGTTGTCCTAAATATACAAGAGAGCCATTGCGCTGTTGCCTTGAGAATACTGTATTTCTCGCTCAGGGTGTCCGTCAGTTGAATGGAGGCTTGAGGGGATGTACAGAGACCCGGCGGCTCAGAACAATCATATCGGACTCGGTTCTCCTTCAAGCAAAGCTGTGACATGAAGAGTCTGATGGACATGCTGTCGTCATCACCGCTGCATCCTTCCAGGTTGTGTGACAATTGGCGGGATCCGTTTGTTTCAGACAAGGAGTTCTGGCTCCCCTCCGCAGATCGTGCGCGATATCGAATTCGGGATCGATCATTTCGCATTTTCGCTAGCCCCGAGCTCTGTATAACCATATTCGGTGCTAAGTTGTTTTGTCCTGATCCTCGGACCTGGTCATTAATATAAGTTTGATGGCAAATCCGATGGAGTGATTCGACCAGGGTGCTGCGGCTCGCACCAAGACCGTTGACTACAAGGGCCAGGGCTGACTGGCCAGGGCTGTGGGCTCCGTCACGAACTAAGAAATGTACGTCAGAATCACTGGCTTAGGACGACGTTAAAGGCACCGGAAGGGTCTCGGCGTGTAGGAGTTCTGGCTTCTAGAACCAGAACGCATTGACGGGAGACCAACGCCATGGGGGCATTCGACACGGCGGAAGAAGAGACGAAGATGGTTAAACACAAGTGGACAAGAACTGGATTCGTTTCGGAGGCGATCTGCTGCTTGGCTCTTCTCATGTAGGACCAGCAGCAGCAGCACGGCAGTCAGATGTCACCAAGAGACTCGTCAGTGTGGTGGAGCTGCCGACCAGGATGCCGCCCCTTGCCGGCCGCCTCTCTTCTTTATCAACGCGTAACGAGCCAGTGGATTTGGCGGGATGAGGCGTTTTGATAGAAAGCCAAAAAGAATGCTGCGAGACAAAAAGGATTCGCTCTCCTATCCATCCCTATTTAACGCACAAAGGGAACCTCGACGCTGCAGGTCTTGGGTTCTGTAGGATTCTGTCTCGTGGAAGATCTATGAGACTCGCTTCAAACAGCCTGAGCTTCCAAGATATTCCTACCCAATTCCTTTCAAAACGATCTCCTGAGCTTCTCAGTTACACGTTCCCCTGTTTCCTCTGACCATTTCAACAATTGGTGTGGCAATGGGTCTAGAATAGGCGGCAGACCCAGATTCACGGAACCAGACTCTGGTTTCTGCGGATAGCTTGGACTACTGAGCATCCTGCATACTGACACTCAACAGCTTCCAATTCCCTCAAGTATCTCTCAATGCTCCTCTACAATCCCGTTTTCGAGTTTGTGAATTGATGCTTTACAATTCCGCCGACTCCGAACCTCCCGGCCTCACCCAAAACCTCCCGCCATGATCTCCTTTCGAAGATGCGTGATCCTCGCAGTCTCCCTTCTCTCGTTCACATTCATCCTCCACCTGTCCACCGGTAGCAATGCTCACCAGCAACCGAAACCAAGCGATCTCTTGGAAAAAGAGCCGTCAGGTTTGGATAAGTCACGCGAACGCCAACTCTTCCAGATTCCACTCGAGGATCTAGCTCAAAAACCCCTCCGAGAGCGATTACGATATCAGTTCCCTTACGATTTACAGTCAAAGTTCCCAGCATATATCTGGCAGACATGGAAATACGCACCGTCGTCGGGGCATTTTGGAGAGGAGTTGCGCCCGTTCGAAGCTAGCTGGACTGAAGCACATCCGGGGTTCGTCCACCAGGTCGTCACAGATGCTGGGATGATATACGTCATAAAATACCTATATGCCGCATTCCCAGAAATAATAGAAGCCTTTGAATCGATGCCACTTCCTGTGTTGAAGGCAGATTTTTTTCGATACCTTATCCTTTTAGCCCGTGGTGGGATATACACCGACATTGATACCTGGGCGCTGAAATCAGCAATTGAGTGGGTACCCAAGTCAGTTGACAGGTCTTCGATAGGCCTTGTCATCGGTATTGAAGCGGATCCAGATAGGGAAGACTGGCAAGATTGGTATTCGCGCCGTATTCAATTCTGCCAGTGGACGATTCAGTCAAAACCAGGGCATCCCATACTCCGAGACGTCGTGGCAAACATTACAGAAGAAGCCTTGCGGATGAAAAGTCATGGAAGACTCAAAAAGGCCAAAATGGATAAAACCATTGTGGAATTCACCGGACCGGCGGTATGGACAGATGCTGTCTTTCGCTACTTGAACAATCCGGCGTACTTTGACGTGGGAAACGATATCCATCTCACCAGAGAGATTGACTATAGATATTTCGTGGGGATTGTCGCCCAAAAGGTTGTTGGGGACGTTATTGTATTGCCAATCACCAGCTTTAGTCCTGGTGTACAACAAATGGGCGCCCAGGAGCCCGAGCACCCAATGGCCTTTGTCAAGCATGAATTCCAAGGTACGTGCCAACTCTCACACGTTCCAATTTCTCCTCCGAAATGACCAATGCCTGATAACCGAAAATAGGAGCTTGGAAACATGGCTCTGGTGAATGATTCCTTGTTACATCATGATCTGCCCCAACCAAACCTACCCCCGAACCCATCAAGTCCGCGCCTCTGAAGAATTCATCTTCCGAGACAGCGATCGCCTTTCTGAGAGGTATCCGCTCATCCCATCATCTTTCTGCATCGATCTCTCCGGGGAATCCATGTTGTCTACCTTTAGGGAGTTTTACTTTGTATTTCCATTCTTCCCGGCGCAAAGGAAAGGCAAAAACTGGTCAACATTCAAGGAGTTCTAGAGGGTTAATGGCGTTCCGTCACTTTTATTTCCCAATTTTTTCTCAATGACCCGTGGTTGCATTTACACTTCTTTCCATGTGATGGCTCTAACATTGTTTTCCTTTTCTTGTACTTTACCTGCATTAACCACCCAGGAACAGGCAGACTTGTTTCTACTCGATTACATGGCTTTGTATTATTGCTTACCGTGGGATTAAAAGGCTTGTACGGATGGGCAAATGTTCCTCTTTTTTTTTTTTTTTTCCTTTCGATTTCTCATGTTCTTTTGTTGGCTTGATCAATGTATTGAGGTCCAGGCGGAAAACTTCAAGCAGTAAGGAATCATCGAGGGACCTTTCTACCAATTTTCGGGCTCCCTTCGTTAAAGGGAGAGCACTGATTTGAGTCTATCAAAAATAAAAGCCAAGCCCAATATTTCGGTGGAATAGTTGACATCGTCCCCTTTCTCAATCTACACAAATGCCAATCAAAGTAGGATACTCAGGAATAGGTGGTTCTGGCTTTGTTATGTATGTATGTGCATTGAATGCCTAAAACAACTGCGATATATGCAAGCAGGATTAGGTAGTGGCAAGAAATCTGCCAGGAAAAAAAAAGCTTTTGGCCAAAACCGTGTATAGTATGTATCATGTTTGTGCAGACTTCAGAAACTAGACACCTGGTAGTATGTAGGTAGGTGCTAAATATTGTACGATAGAAGAAACATGTCACTTTGATGAAGGGGATAATGGTCGATGGAGGGTTTGGGCGCAAAAGGAGTACGATAAGGTCGATGTTCCCGTTCAGGTTCCGAGTGAACGGGTTAGAGCATGGAATGTGGGAACAGTAAGACTTAGGAATCGTCAAAATCTTTGAACAAGCCCTCGTACTTCCTTCTCATCTCATCCGTGTACACACTTTGTGTACTAGGGTCCGGTGGAGGCGGATATTCCTCAAAATTGCCTGCATCAGCAGCATGATCGACACGAGGTATGATCGGCCCGTTTCTTCGCCGACGATATAGATCATCCCAGTTTATCACCTTAAAAAAGGGGTGATCTTTGATCCGCTGCGTTCCGCCAGATATGTGACCCAGTCTTTCTGAGGGGCTGGTTTTACACAACGTACTTATGATATCCCGTGCTTCTGGTGAAACATGCGGCGGAAAACGCAGGCGCCCCTCGATGATCTGTTCGTATATTCGCAAAGGGTTCGGATCCTCAATAAGGAGGTTGGCCGACTAGGAATTCATATATTAGATGCCTAACGCCCACCAATCTACTGCCCAACCCATGGCCACTGTTATGTATGACTTCTGGCGCGAGATACTCTGGTGTCCCGCAGAGTGTATACGTTTTCCTGGCTATAGAGCTGTTTTGCGAAGCCGGAAGTCGACCAGCTTCAGAATGTCCTTTCGGCATCTAGGAGAATGTTTTCCTGGGTTTTAAATCTCGGTACGCAACGCCTTGTACATCGTGGAGATATTCGAGAATCAATACTATCTCGGCTGCATAGAATTGGGCCGTGGATTCGTTGAACCGTCGTACTCGCCGCAGGAAGCTGAATATTTCGCCGCCAGGGCAGAAATCTAGCTGTGAAAGGAATCATTTAGCACACGAACAAATATGGGGAGTCGCGCGAAATCCCAAATGTTTAATGACCAAATAGCCGCCGGCTGAATGCATCCATGAAGGGCGAGCTTGCTGTTAACAAGCAGCGCAGAAAAGCCCAAACTCTGGAGGAAAGGGGAGCAAACATGTAAATGAGCATCACGCATACCAGCATATATAGACATTGGTCGTCGGAAAATGATGCAATCAATGTTGTGATAAAAGGATGGCCGGCAACAGCGTGAAGTGCTCTATTCTCATTCTTAACATGTTCCACTTGTTTGAGCTCGATAACTACAAGCAAGCAGAGACCGTTAATAGGGATCGATTTATTTGAGGACGGGCAAAACACACCATCAGCTTTGCGAAGAATCTTCAAAGCAAAAATCGAATTCGCCTTGTCTTTCGGATTCTTCAGTCGAACAAGCCATACCCGCGCGAAAGTACCTTCAACAAGGTCATGTCAATATCAGGGCCCTTTTGAGCTTCGATTTTTCCTTTTTATCACTCAACGTACCAGTTCCCAATGTCTTTAACAATTCAAAATCTTCAATCTTCAATTTGTGCTTTGGAATTCGCTCCTTGATATGTTTCCGATTTTCCACAATGTCTGGTGGAGTTTTCGGCCTAGACGCCGGCCATGGAGGGAAACCAATTTTCTTAGCGTTGATGTCTTGTCCGGGATCGATCTCCGGGCGGTGCTGATCTGACGGTGGCGGCTTGGACAATTGCTCCTGCGTCTGCGGGATCGTCTCTGTCGCCATTGGGGAAAAGGGTAAAATCTCGCGTCTGCACGTCGAAAATGTTAACCAACCAAGCTCTCCAGTGCTATGTTCGGGGCATTCCTGAGCTCCGGAAGCTTCAAGGACTGCGGCGATCGTTTCGATTCCGCTCGCTCAGCGGGGGCCGGATACGCGACAAGGAGACGAAGGGGTAGAACTGAGAGACCGTATTGCCGCCATTGACTTCATTAAACAGGCGGAAAGGTAAAGATACATTGCCTCAAGTCCTCGAATCGAAAGGAGTTGTCGGGAAGAGGTGAAGGAAGAGGTGACTTTGAGCTAAACTGGTTGTCTGACGTAGGCGGGGCACGTTTGGCTGAGCAGAAGCTTTTCCCTTCAGCTTTGGGTGAAAGAGCAGCCGCCAAGCTTTGTCTTTTGAACTACAATTGGGGAACTGGATCTCTTACAGCCAGGCCGGGGACAGGAATCGGCCCAGATGAAGTCAATTCGACGTAAATACTCCGCAGCTGCCCGGCTTCAAAAACTACCTCCTGGTTACGCGCCCGGGATCCACTGGGAGTGATATCTCTGATCTTCACACCGTTTGAAACTTGTCTAACAGTTGATTGCTCCTACTCGCCGGATTAAGCCCAATCCAAAAGAGAGTACATAGGAAAGCCCGCCAAGATAGCACAAATCGCTAACGCGCCGAAAATGTACTGTACACAAAGGGCGCTACGCAACAGGTATGCCCCATAGGTAGGAAGAAAGGTACGGAAGAGCACCTTGAATGCAAAACGTACTTGCGATCAGCGCTTCGAATTTAGAATCAACGCAACGATGAGGCTAGATGTTAACGAGTCATTAGCTAAGCTATCGAGAGACGGTTATCCGGCCGAACATACCCATAGAGACCTAGGACTTCACCGAAAATCAAGATCAAAATCATGCCAACAAATACGCGTGATTGCTGCATAAATGCTCGTGTTCCCTGGGTAGAGCGTTAGTGAAGATTCCAGTGGGACCGGCTTAACCTCTCAAGCGTACAGCATCCCCGACTATCCCAATGGCGTAGCCCGCAGCTAATCCTGAGAGACCAACAGCCAACCCAGCTGCAAGATGTATGGAGCCCCTAGAGTGTATAAGTTGATATTAGCAGACAAAAGGGGCAGCGCACGGGCGGAAAAACGTACGCATATAAACTGTAGTTCTGTGCTGGAGTGCCAATATCACCGGCAATGAGAACCGCGACGACCAACCCGTAAACTGCAATTATACCAGCCATGACAACGGGGACCAGTGACTAAAAACCTCTGGTAAGCTCAATTCCATGTTGTTACCAGGCGTCACAACACCCACTTTCATGATCAAGTCTGGTCGAAAGGTTCCGACATTCGCGATCCCGATGCCAGCCTTTGCCGTGCCGTAAGCCGCTCCGAGTGCTATATGGTGGTGAACATGTGAGGTGAGGGCGGGGATATAGGTAGCCAAGGTCCATCAAAACGTACATCCGAATATCATCTGCAGGAATCGTCAACGAACTGGGCGGGAGACCGTGGTATTTACGCGAGGCAAGAACAGAGCGGATCGACTTACAGCTGATGCTATCCCTGCCTGTGATTCCCATCTTAGCTGCAGAGCCTCTTGAACCCAGAACATCTGAGACTTACCATTCCAAAGAACGGAGCGAACTTGGGGGTCAGCTCGCTTTCGGCCATTGTTTATTGTCTGTCAGGAAGGGTCCCACAAAAGCAGGTCTTGAGGGTAGGTCACATAAATAGTAGAAGAAATAGACAGACTACTGGCAGATAACCTGAGCGTCACCTTCACCTGTTTCTCTTGTTCAGAGTGCACTCACTGGCTCACTGGCTCACTGGCCGTCATCAGACGGAAGCCACAGACAGTCACGTGCTTGCTGCTGTGCTTAGTCATTGTCCAAGGCAGACAAGCCACACTTGCCGGAACGATGAGTGGAGCACAAGCGGATTGTGCCTGAGCTTAAACCGCTATTGGCTGAATCTCTGGCTGTAAGCTGCTGATTGGCTGGATTAGTGAAATAAAGATGCTCAGCCACAAATACCAATTCAGGACAAACCAGGCGCTAAGCCCTTTTGGGGGGCCCCGAGGAGTTGGCCTCCTCACCAATTGAATCGACGCCATGCACCTCTTCAACCACCGGGCTCGACAACGCTCCCTCCCCCAAATCCCCGTCATCTTCCTGCAAATCAGTTCTCTTCCCTCTTTTCTCTTTTGCTTTTGTTTCTGTTCTTTGCTACTCGATTGTGCCTACGAGCTTGGTCAACGCCCATTCCTTACACGGCGAGGGTCTCCATCCTTGAAGCCCTGCTCGCATTGAGAGACATTTCTAGCATCGGTGATGTGGACGTTCTGGCTATGACCCTCCCAATCTCCATCTTCACCTAGATTTGAATTGTGCGTTGTTATTGCGTTCGCTTCGGGCATTTGTGGAGTTTTCGAACGGGCTATCCGGCGACCCCATTGCATCTATTGTATTCAAGAGCGAAATTTGGATCCGGAGCATGACACCTTAGTGAAGTGATCGTCGCTAACCTAACCGGCGTTTGTCACGCTCCAAGATATATACAAATAGCCTACGATCTTTGCATACGGAGTGACCCGAAGCCGCAGCGCTGTAACTCGTGCTAATCTCACATCGCCCTCTTTCTCCTGCTATCGTAACCACGACGTGCGCGGATAATGGCGGATTACGGATCCCAACAGGGGCGGAACCCTCGACCTAACCCATATGGCCACGCATCCTCTTTCCAGCGGGATGCCGCCTTCTCGGAAATTTTTGGGGGAGCTCCGCCGCCCGGGCGTTCACAAACGATGACTTCTCAGACCCCTCAGTTCCACCAGGAGCGGGCACACACCATGACCGGCCATTCGCCAGACGTGTATATGCAACCGCGTGGTCACCCTCCCCCCATGAGACAATCGCATCATAGCTATGGCCCAGGGCCCGAATCGGGACACCACGATCCGCGATGGCAGCCGAATGGGTCCATGCCGCCTCACCCAACACCTCGAAACCCGCCTATCCCTCCATATTCAAATCGATCCCAATACCCTATTCCGCAACGGATGGATTCTATGGCGAGACCACCTCCCCAATATCCACCAATGAAGCCTCCAACTCGAGTCCCTCCTCCCGCTGCCTTGAATTCGGACCCGTATCGATCCCGATCGATGGCAGGGCCAGGACCGCGTCCTCCCCAATTTCATGCCCCCCCAAATAACTACAACCAAGCGCCTCCGAACGCTTTCAGACAACAAGGCTACCACCCAATGAGCTCTCGGACCCCCCATGGTCGGATTGTGCCCGAAAGGCATGATAACGAGCGTGCCATGTCGTTAAGTTCTTACACGTCGGATCGTGACCATACTCAGATGATTAGCTCTGGAAGGGTGGTTCCTAATCGAAGACGTGAACCGGGTCTGGATCGAGAACGGCCGGACCGCATGGAGCGACATCCGATGGAGAAACCACCCTCAGATCAGATGCCTGTTGTCCCGAAAATCACCACCACTCACGATACGCAGCCAAGGATCAGACATCCGAGCGAAAGTTCCATGAATTCCCGTACCTTATCTATGGCGTCAACTGTTACTCCGGAACGCAACAACAGCTTGCAAACTCCTACCTCTGCAAAGTCTGGCCAATTGGCTGCAACGGTTACAGCCAATCGCAGTCGAACCCCTCTTGCTTATCCTGCGTTATTATCACGCGTGGCGGCAGTTTTCAAGGAAAGAATTACCATCGGAGAGCGGACAAAGAACGATTTGGCGTATACTAATTCATTTACTGGTGCCGAAGCCGTGGACCTCCTGTCGTACATCATCAAAACAACAGATCGAAATCTAGCACTCCTACTTGGTAGGGCTTTGGATGCACAGAAGCTTTTTCACGATGTAACGTACGACCATCGACTGCGAGACGCTCCTGGAGAGCTGTACCAATTCAGAGAAACGATGGGAGAAGAGTCGCCGGTTTCTGAAGTAAACGGTGTCTTTACGCTCTTGACAGAATGTTACTCTCCAACTTGCACGCGCGATCAGCTGTGCTACTCCATCGCTTGCCCACGACGACTGGAACAACAAGCAAGGCTAAATCTGAAACCTCAACCTGGCTTAAGGCCTTCTGCATCGAGAGGCAGTCTCCACGATCAGGATGAAAGCGAAGACCAAAAGTTATGGATCAACATGGTACCGAAAGAAGTTGCCGACACCATTGACGACAAGGAGAAGAAGCGGCAAGAAATTATTTTTGAAATCATGTATACTGAACGTGATTTCGTCAAAGATTTAGAATATCTCAGAGATTTCTGGATGCGGCCACTTCGCTCCGCACACAACACCAGCCTCTCTCCAGTTCCGGAACATCGTCGGGAGAAATTTATAAGGACCGTATTCGGCAATGTCCTTGAAGTTCTGAGTGTCAATTCTCGGTTTTCAGAGGCACTGAATAGCCGACAAAAAGAAAATCATATTGTGCATAGCGTTGGTGACATTTTCCTTCAATATGTTCCTCGGTTCGATCCGTTCATCAAATATGGTGCCAACCAATTGTACGGGAAATACGAGTTTGAAAAGGAAAGGGCATCCAATCCTGCTTTTGCCAAGTTTGTTGAAGAGACAGAAAGGCTTAAGGAATCGAGAAAACTAGAACTCAATGGTTATCTCACGAAACCAACAACTCGGCTTGCTCGGTACCCGTTGCTGCTAGAAAATGTCGTCAAATACACCAAAGACGATAATCCAGACAAGCAGAACATTCCAAAAGCTATTACTCTCATTCGGGATTTCCTATCCCGAGTGAACACAGAAAGCGGAAAATCGGAAAACCACTTCAACTTGATGCAACTGAACATGGCCCTCAAGTTTGCTCCTGGTGATTACGTGGACCTCAAACTTACAGAAGAGAATCGCACAATGTTGATCAAAATGGCGTTCAAAAAGGGTCCGACAGACACCTCCGAGGTTACAGCCTATCTTTTCGACCATGCAGTTCTACTGGTTAGAATAAAGGCTGTCAATAAGCGCGAGGAGTACAGGGTGTACAAGAAGCCGATTCCCTTGGAATTACTCGTTATTGCACAAATGGAAGAGGTCATACCCAGGTTAGGCATCGCAAAACGTCCTTCAACTAATTTGCTTGCCGCGGGTCGTGCAGTCAACACCCCTCCAGCTGCTAAGGATGGCTTTCCAATTACGTTCAAACATCTTGGGAAAGGAGGATATGACCAAACTCTTTGGGCGACGTCGCAAACTCAACGAAAAAGGTTCATTGAGTTGGTCGAAGAGCAACAACGCAAGTTGAGGGAGCGTAGTAACAACTTCTATTCCAAAACTGTGCTGTGTGAAGGGTTTTTCACTGCTGCGAATAGGGTAAACTGCTTGGTTCCGATTGGTTAGTATCTTTTTAACTCTGATTTATGGAAAGAATCCTCAGCTAATATAGATATGTTAGATGGAGGGCGAAAGTTGGTTTACGGCACCGACAATGGCATCTACCTATCCGAAAGATGGCCCAAAGACAAAACCGCTAAGCCCAAACGTGTTCTTGATGCAACCGCAGTTACCCAAATCGATACGCTTGAAGAGTATCAGCTCATGCTTGTATTGGCTAATAAAACGCTAAGTTCCTATCCTCTGGAGGCACTGGATGCCCATGACGGCCAGAACCCGCTGGTGCGTCGGCCTAAGAAGATCCAAGGCCATGCCAATTTTTTCAAATCTGGCATTGGTCTTGGGAGACATCTAGTGTGCTCTGTGAAAACATCCGCTCTATCGACAACTATCAAGGTGTTTGAGCCGATGGAAAATTTAGCGAAGGGCAAGAAAAAGCCCCTCAGTAAAATGTTCCAGAGCGGGCAAGATGCATTGAAGCCCTTCAAGGTAGGATTTTTTGGGACATATCTATCGATAGTCGCTAACATCATTATCAGGAGTTTTACATTCCGGCGGAATCCTCATCCGTTCATTTCTTGAGGTCAACTCTATGTGTTGGATGCTCTCGCGGCTTCGAAGTCGTATCCTTAGAAACGACTGAACGACAGTCATTGCTAGATCAGGCAGACACCTCTCTCGACTTCGTTGCGAGAAAGGAGAACGTGAAGCCCATTTACATCGAGAGATTGAATGGAGAATTTCTTCTTAATTATAGCGATTTCTCCTTTTTTGTGAACAGGAATGGATGGCGCGCGCGACCTGACTGGCGGATAGCGTGGGAAGGAAACCCGACCGCTTTCGCGCTGTCGTATCCATACATTTTGGCTTTTGAGTCGAGCTTCATTGAAATCAGACATTTGGAGACAAGTGAACTGGTCCATATCATGACCGGGCGAAACATTCGCATGCTGCACTCATCAACAAGAGAGGTAGGGCCCTTTTTCATTTCCTTTTGGTCTGTTGGAATACATTTGCTGATGAGTGTATAGATTATCTATGCATATGAAGATGAAGCTGGAGAAGATGTGGTGGCTAGCTTGGATTTCTGGAACAAGCCACAATAAAGCCTAGGAGCTGAAGGTTTGGCGAGCGCTGCCCTTTCTCATTGCAGGGAGTGCGTTGTTTAGCGGCAGTGACAGATTTTCTTCTGGTTAAATGAATAATACCCAAATTTTGTCGCACTCCCTTTCCTTGTATGCACTGACCTTCTGAGTCATACAATCTTGCTGCTTTTGGCATGGATTGGATGCACTCAAATAGCTAGTGCATTGGGCCTTCAGCTGCCCTCTTATGTATGACTTTTTTTTTCTCCCATGCGCTTCCATCATTCTTAGCTACTTCTTCTTTAATCATGTTCTCCCCTTTTTTGTCTTCTTCTTTTACTTTCTACAATGGTTCTTTGAACCTTTAGCATGACCTTGAGTCATTCCTGTCTTTCTATTGTTGTTTTGAGAAGCGTATATTTTTATCTTTGGTTTTCCTGTGTTTGGTTTCATTGTGCAGTTTGAAGATTATTGTTATTTTATGACTTTCTACCCAAAAAGAAAAGAGCAGTTTATCCATGGTTCATTTTATTTGCTCGGAGTGGTTTTTGGTTACCAGATAAGTGAGCAACTTGTCGATGTAGGTCTCATCATACATATAAGCATGAAATGGTGCTTCTTGATCCATATAAACTACCTGTGCAGCATCCCAACTCCAGTGTATGCAGCGGAGTAATCTTCCCCTTTCAACAATGAGGAGCACTGCCCAAAAAAAGTTGTGTTGAATGAGAATTGAATTTATTGCTGGAGTAAGGCAGCTTATCATCAATGGCTTGCAGTGTTTATGTCCCTATACTTTTGGACCATTTCATTGCTGATCCAAAATCATTATCCTCAAGCTGAGACACAGCATAGGCTGTAGAGCTAATAAATCCATCCATCACAAGTGCCGTAGCATCTTTTAATGCTGTCTCATAAAAAGGTCACAATAATAACAAGTTTTTAGTTTTTCATATTATTTTTAAAAAAAGGATGAGCCAACTAAATGCGTGCATCTTAGATCTCGACAATAATTATGCATAACCAAGAACAACTTACAAGCCGCGAAAAGGAGGCGTGTTAGCAAGTAATAAACCCCTACCCAAACCGGCAAATTGCAAATCAGGGGCCATGAAATTTGAGGGATGATGAAGGAAGAGCAATCTGCACATAGGTAAGAACTACGAGGTGTGTAAAAAGCCGAAGTATTGAAAAGGGAAGAGAAAAGAAAAGAAGGAATAAATCAATATTAGTAGCATACCGAGTATCAGGTCTGAATATCAAATAAAAACGCAAAGCTGTAAAAGGAGAATCCACTGGTACTTGGCCCTGCTTTATGCACACTGCGTCCCACCAGCCTAGCACTCAGCGCCATATTTTTGGACTGTGTGCATTCACAAGCCTCCCTTCCCAACAAAGGATTTAGTGGTATCAAAATACGACTGCCCCAGAAAAAAAAAACGGGCCTAAAAACTCTGTAGATGGCTTTTAGGCACCAACTTCCCCATTTGTCCCATCCTGGGCATGTTGCTCGAGCTGTCGATTCTGTTCGCGCATGCGGGCCTCGATTTCTCTCAGTTGGCTTTCGCGAGCCAAAAGCTCTTGTCGCTTCTCGTTGATCTCGCGTTGGACCTTTAACTCGATCTCGCGGAGTTTTTCCTCTTCGCGGCGCAACTGCTCTTCCTTCAGACGAACAGATTGAGAAGCCAAATCTTCTGGATTCATCGAGGAGTCTTGGTTTCTGTAGAATATGTCAGTATCAACATATCAGCATTCAGGTTAAGCCCTAGGATCACGAACGCAGCAGCTCCACCCTCCACGCTCTTGCTAAGTTTTTCTGTACGGTAGTTTTCGTAGAGGAAATCGTGGGTAATTTCTTTCAAATCGGCGAGGTGACTATGCAATAGCGCACTTCGGATGGCCAAAAAATCAGAGTGCCGCTGATTCTCAACCTCAACCACACCCCATGGATATTGTCTTGCGCGGACCTTACGACCATTGATCTCGAGGACATCCTCTGAGCCAACAATCGCAAATGGCATTAGTCCTCTAAGTTCGGCATTTTCCTCTACGGTGTCCTCGTCGTCCTCTTCCACATCATATGGGAAGTTGTAGATAGGGATACGGTAGTGTTCGATATCCTCCATGATAAGCTTTTTTGACTCTGCTAGTTCAGCGGGAGTGAGGGAGTCGGCCTTCCCAATCACGGGAATAACGTTGACACGGGGAGACAAGCGCTTCATTAACTCGATATCAAGCTCTCGCAATCCATGACCGGTGGGCGTGATGAAATAGAGGAGAGCATGGACACGGTTGTCACGGAATCGAGGATTACGCTTAATCCTTGATTCCTCGGCTAAAATGTCGTCATACTGGCGTTCTAGATAGCCGACAATTTCAGAAAAACTGAAATTGGGTTAGCCTCCGGTCCACTCTGCATGTCTTAACTCCACAGTACCTTTCCTCATTGTCAATCTGATCACCAAAGCCGGGAGTATCGACAATTGTCAAAGAAATACGGGTGCCTTCCTCGTCCAACTCAAGTTCTATTTCCAATATTAGCCACTCTAGCGAACTTCCGCATAGGAGCTGCGCTTAACTGCGCCTAACCCACCGACGGTAACCGGTTTGATACGGACTCCCTCCTCGAGATGGGCATTCGTTGGGTCGTCTGCGTCTTTGCCTTGCAAAACCTGCTTTCCGCAAAGTGTGTTGACGAAGGTGGTGCGACCTATGTGTTGCATTCAACTGGTGGTTAGCATGAGCGTGAAAGCAAGAACAGGCTCAAAAAAGTCATACCAGTTCCACTAGCACCGCAGACCATCAAACAAAATTGAATTCCCTTTTTCACATTCTTCTTTCTGCGAATCTTAATCTGTGCCCGCAGGGTCAGTATCGTGGACAAATCGTCATGGCTCAGAAACGCAGGCCGCGCGACAGCCCAAGGGTCGGAGCAGTCATAAAACGCAAGAAGGCTAGGAACAACGTACAGCATTGACTGTCGAAGCCATGGCGTGCGAGTTGGAATGGAACGAAATCGTGAAGGACGGGGTGCAAGAAACTACGGAGTAGCCTCGCAATCAAACGATACGTTAGTTTCAACGGCGAGAGTGAGGAGATCTCAGCGTCGAATCCGATAGCTTCAAAGATCAGTTCACTGAGGCTTGCAGCAGGCAGCAATTGAAAGAGACAAAGGGTTGAAGCTGGCTTGGTGGTCACTTCGAGGGCTAGTCAGGTCGTCAAAACTAGGTTTCAGGGGCCTTCAGTTGCTTTGATACAAACGGAGCTAGGCGGTTTTGGGAAGTGGAGGGACGCTGGTCCCCTTTGGGCTAGCGTTTCTTTCCCGATCCAAATTTTTAAGCTCGGTGCGCCAATCATACAACGGTAAAGCCAAAGTTTTGGGACGGGGGGAGTTTCTAAGCTTGATCATTGGTCAGAATTAAGGTATCTCAATTACATGGTGGTAACTTTGGCATCACCCACCCCTTATGTAAGCGAGGTGTGCGGAGCCCCTTTTTGCGGAGTGAAGATTGTTCCCCTTACGAACCGCAATCACGTACTCTGTAAGTTGGAAATGTTCACAGAAATACTCTCGTCCTGTCAATACGGTTGAATACGTAACTCAAGGCGATTCGCGGCTTGACTGTGAATGAAGTTTATTGAAGAGACTTTGGTTGATTGATTGATAGGATTGCATGGACGTATGCGACTACGATCGAAGAAAGTTTTAAGGTAACTAGCAGTTAAGCTAATGATAGTTAAAGACGACTAAAAGACTTCGGCATCGGGTCATTAAGAGCTCCAAGCCCTCTAGAGAAAATTTTCCATTGAAACCTCGAAACATGCGAACGATGCAAGATCTTCTACATTGCTTTGGGGAGCATTGCAAGCTTTTGGGCGGCACTCGGACCTACGAAATTCCGGTGTATGGTTAATGGCTGACATAATCTAGACGGCTTGTATGGAGCACTCGGAGTTAACCTTCCCATGACACTAAAACGACATCACCATCATCATCGTTATTTCTCCAGCTTCCAGGAGCTCTGAAGCCGGTCGCATCCTTTAGCGGCCCACACGGGTTTTCTTGAAGGTTGGCGAAAATACAAAGTGGACGATGTTCTGGGTGCATCTCAGCGTCTACAGCCCACGCTCCATGCTCTCCCTGCTCTGTTGAATAATTCAGCCTTTCTCATACTGCCATGACAAACGTCCGCTTTTTGGCGAAGCTATGGATACGAGACAAGTTATAGATACGTCCGCGGGACCAGTAGCTCTATCTACCACTTTCAATAATGACGGCAGCTGCTTTTCTGTTGGCTTAGATTCGGGTTTCTGCGGTGAGATACGGCCCTGCTTTTGTCAACGTTCGTTAATCTTCTGATACCAATGTAGTGTTCAATTCCGACCCGTGCGAACTTAAGGTATCGAGGAGTAAGTAAACCTGCACAAGTGCTTTAATACATTCCGAAACTCACCCTTTGGTCGCAGATTTCAATGCCGGAATCGGAGTTGTGGAAATGCTGGGTCAATCCAACTACCTGGCGCTTGTGGGAGGCGGACGTAGGCCCAAATTCCCCCAAAACAAGGTAGAGAGCTGCTGCCAATTCACCCGTTAGGGGGTTTTGCATATAAAATCTCAACTGACAATGCCCAAGTTGATTATCTGGGACGACGCAAAGCAGAAAGCCGTGATCACACTTGAATTTCGCACGTCCGTCTTACGAGTCCGCCTCACCAAGTCACGCATTGTTGTTGCATTGCACAACAGTATCCATATTTTTGCATTTTCCGTTCCACCGCGAAAACTGTCGGTTTTCGAAACAGTGGACAACCCCCTTGGCTTATTGTGCTTAGGCCGGCGATTGCTGGCGTTCGCTGGTCGGTCTCCTGGGCAAGTCCAAGTGGTGGAACTGGAAACCGGAAATGTTAGCATTATTCCGGCACACAGTTCGCCTTTAAGAGCTTTGACGCTTAGTTCCGATGAAGCCTTATTAGCGACAGCGAGTGAAATGGTACGCATTTGCCCATAAAAGCTTGCTCATTTGGATAAGTGGATTAACTCTATCACCAGGGAACCCTCATCCGTGTATTTGCCAGTAGTAATTGCGCTAAAGTTGCGGAATTGCGGAGAGGAGTTGACCATGCGGACATATTCTCATTGGCCATATCGCCATCCAACACGCTTCTCGCTGTTACGTCGGACAAATCTACTTTACATATTTTCGATCTCCCTCATGCATGCAATTCTATCCCAAACTACCAGCCACCACCCGCCACGGGAGAAGAAGGGCTTTATCAAAAATGGGGATTTCTAGGGAAAATACCACTCCTTCCACGACTATTTTCCGACGTATATTCATTCGCCAGTGCCCCTTTCGAGATCAGTGATGATGCTCCTCCAGGCGCGACCTATGTTCCGCAATTGGGTTCCTCTTCTTGCCGACCACCCAAAGGGCTTATTGGCTGGACCAGCGATGACACGCTCCTGCTAATAGGTGCGGGGAAAGACGGAAGATGGGAGAAGTTCGCGATCCAAGAAGGTCAAGATGGAAAACGTGTCTGTACTAGAACCGGGTGGAAGCGATATTTAGGGAGCTGAGGCAGCTTCTTTTGATTTTTTTTGGCAAGACTTCTGATATTCCAGTATATCTTCATTGGTGAAACAGAAATTTGATGCATCTGGTTACCATTCCCGTGCCTGATGTGGTTCATGGGGGGGTGCGGAGATACTAAAAGCCCCGCCGCTGAGTCGATTGATCAGCTCACAAACAGTAGTGAAATAATCGCAGCTCTTACTAACCTTGTGATATCAAAGTGATCGAGATTAGAGAAAACGCGATAACATAACCCTCCGCACCAAGGTCATGTTCTTTTTTCCGTCACGGTCGAGCTAGCAATATGCCATACTTGCGGTTTCAATTTGACGAGCTGCGAAATTATAAATTGTTGACGCCAACTCCTTCAGTCATCCCGTTTTCGATGCCTGCGCTCCCTCGGAGGCGACTGTGTCCCTGATTTTTCGCATCTGTCACGCGAACGAGAACGCTCTTCACTACGTCTCCGTCGATGGTGATGCCGATGCCGGTGCCGAGACCTATCTCGTCTTTCGGTGCTGTTCCTTCTGCGCCTACTTGACTTTGACTTTTCCAGCGCCTTTGCGACCTCCTCTCTCTTTTCCTGTATCAGATACTGTTTCATTGGATCTTCATCATCATGCTCTTCAATAAGCCGCGCTAATTCCTGCTCTTCTTTCAATAATGGCCGTCTTCGTCGCTCGTTGTCACTCCTGCTCTCCGAGCGCCGCTTTCGAGATCCTCTGTGGCTATCACGGTCACGACTTGGCCTATCTCGTTCCTTTTCTTGTTCTTCCTTTTCCAATAATGCAATGTTATCCTCCAAGCCTTCTTCTTCTTTTCGCTTATATCTCATATGGTCAACCCTTAGTAACCGGCCCATTATGTTCGCGCCGCATAGATTGTCCACAGCCAGATCAGTACTCCTCTGGTCCTCGTATTTTAAGAAAGCGAACCCTTTGCTTTTCCCGGTTTCTTTGTCGCGAACCAAATTGAGGTGGACGGGTTCGCCGAATTGGGAGAATATGGTTAAGATGTCGCCTTCGCTGAGGTCATATGGTAGGCCGCCGATGTAGATGTAGGCTGTATCACGGTAATCGGCGTGCCAGGAAGCTTCTGGGGACCTGGATGAAAGGGCACAGATTAGCCTTGGACGTGATTAGTAGAGAGCAGTCCTGGTCCTACACTGCATTTTCTAACTCGCGTTTGTTCAGGGCCTGGATCTGCCGGATAGAATTCATTCTGAATTTTGAGAGCTCCCGCTGGAAACAAAGCGGGTGTAAGAAATCTTTTTCTACGCAAGCGAATGCTGCCTTATTGTTGGTTGATTAGGATATCGTCGTGGGGAGTTGCGAGAGAGCACATTCAAGGGTGAAGGCCAGTGTTGCCATTTCGTAAATGAAGCTCAGCTTTTGTCGAGTTGACTTTAGGAAAAGCAAAACGCGTGACATCAAAGGACCATCACATTGCAATCCGGCACAATCAACTATCGTAGTCTGCACGCTCGTTCTTTTTTTTTTTTTATATCTGAAGCTAAGCAAGGCGAAATTACTGCTTGACATTGAGTCTTACGTCCCTTTCCACTCCCCTTTTCCCTCTTCCACGCTTCACCATTGCTCCACGCAGCCACGCCCCGGCTTCCATAGGCGCGAAACGCTTGCCTACATACGACCCAGAGGATTGTCTATTCCCATTACCGCACTCAACACATCTGGCATGGTGTTGCTGAAATGATCGGTGTGGCACAAAGGACTTCGACTCTTAACCAAAGCCCCGGGCCAAAAATTGGTACCGGTAGCAGACCGGCTAGCAAGGATGGGAAAAAGAATCTATGGTCCTCCATGCTGGATGGGGTTGCAAGCGGCAAAAGATTACCAGAAAAAAACCTATTAGTGTTAGGTAGGTTCATGACCGTGGTTGCTACGGAGCTTGCATCAATGGCGCTCAGAGGTGCGGGTGATATCTCGACTAACAGCGCTTTGAATTAGGGGGAACACCGGAGAGTCAGAGAGAGTTTCTGGATACACTATCATCCGACCCGTCAGATCCAAGGCTGCCATCGGAGAAACGAAAAGGAAAGGCTCCTCCAATAGCGAACCAGTTTGCCCTTGGGTATACGTATCAGGATGTCCTAGATGCTGATCAGGAAGGTATATATCCATGGGCTTCTATGCGGTTTATGACATTTTTGCTAAATATCATGATCATGCAGATATCCTGGCCCGAGTATCTGTTTATCTTCTCTCTGAGCCCTCTCCATCGTTCGCTCCTCTCCTCAAGCCGCTCCTCAACACAAAATCTGTCCGTGAGACGTTGATAGTAGTTCTGTTAGACTGGGATTCGCCATGGTCGTGGATACGGCAATTGAGAGAATGGATCCGCCTTTTAAGGTCTGTTCTGATTTCTCTGGATGATGATACCAAGCTGGTCATGGAGGAAAACATGATGGAGTGGAAAGGGCAACGAAGGGGCATTGATTCCACGTACCCGTCAGGCTCTGGTGGCCCCGCATCAATACCTTTAGGGCCCGGTGAATGGGATGAAGGCCTGGGAATCCCTATGTGTGTCGTCTGTCAAGGAGTTAGTTCCCTTCAGATGAGATCTTTCTGCTGGCTACAAATACTAGGCAGAGAAAATCGAGAAGTTGGAGAAAGACCACGGCTGGCGAGAGGAGGAATTTGATTTCATACTACAATTCATGCGCACAATCCTTCTTAAGCGTAAGTATGCCTCCCACACCAGCCACACGACCTACCTTGCTAACCGTTATATAGATGGATCGTCACTTATCTATACCACGCCATTCCTTGCCAACTCGTTGCAAAGTTTGATACATTCGTCTCTTGGCATTCATTCACTCCTCAAGAGACAATCCTTTAAACACAATGTCATCGACAGAGACAAGATTTTGGTGCCATCCAATTGGGATTCATGGGGTAAAATTCGCATCATCAGAGAAGGATTTGACATGGAAGGTATTGGAAATGCGTGGTCAATCGAAATCCAAGAATCCGCTGAGTCCTCCAAAGCTGAGGATGATATTACTGAGAAAGAAGAAAGCTCAGCAGAGGGAACAAGCGCCGTAGCGATCTATGAGCAAACTATCCAGGACCCCAAACAGGTTACCGCTATCTCGCGAACGAGCCAATCCGATGGCAACCGAATAGAAATAGAAACAACCGACACCCAGACATTTTTAGCGGAGCAGCTCGAGGTGCTTGAGCAGCTGAGAGCTGAAGATGAGAATCAGGAGCGCCAGATGCGGAAGGATGGAGTGCTTAGGGAGAGCCCTATGATTGATGAGTCCGGCCGAGTGAACGAGCATATTGGACCAGTACAATTCAATATGGGTGGTATTCAGGTTGATGCCGATGACATGCTGAGGAGATTAAAGGTATGTCGCGGTGAAAATAGGCGGTTGTTGAGTGGAAATCTCATGATTTATCGATACTAATATTATTCTCTACAGGAACGAGAAGCTAGCCGAGCGCCTAACCGCAAAGAGCGCCAATCCGGGGGTGAATCACCGCTCGCCGAATCTCTCGGGTCGTCGCCTGTTAGCTCAACCGGGGAGCCAAAGATGCAAAACCAAAGCCTGGCCAACTTCTTTGCAGGCTTGGTCAAGAAGCCAGGTGGTAGTCCTCGTTCGAACCAGGCGGCTTGATTCAACGGCTGGCTATGCGGCTGTGGGCTCTAATCTTGTTGGCCAGCCCTGATGTTTGACACCTCTTCGTCTGGTTTTTCTTCTTTGTCCTTTTTCTTTCCTTCTCTTTTGACTGCTATATGTTATAGGCTTTTGTTTTTTACTGTCTTCTTGGTGGATTTACTGGTTCTTATATACCCTACACTATAGATTTTCAGATCTATAAGTAATCATCCCGTTTAGACTTCCAGAATTCAATGTAACTGCTGTTCATACCCATGTCTTGCTTTACCCTGAGAAGGTTATTTGCTGTAGGGTAATTTGAATACTCGTATCATAATTTAACGAAGTACTCCGTAATTGACCGGATGGTATTGACTGCTCAATTCCCAAAATCTTTCGGGGAGAATATAATATATACAATTAGAATTGAGGAGTTATTCCGTAGGCACTAAGGCGCCTAGCTATATAGCATGCGCAGCATTATTTAGGAATTATCAACTGTTTGTTTACGAGTTGAGGTTGACAACTGGGACCACAGTGTCGGTCAGTTTGATCGCATCAGGGTTGCTCTGTCCAATGCCAGAGTATTTGTTGACCCAGCCAAGGACTTGTTGGTGCCAGACGAGAGAGTTCTCGCGTTGAAGGACCCTGCAGAGTATACGTTAGCTACTTGCTCAATGGCCATGACGGGAGAGGGGCGCGGGAATTCATACCAATGGTTCTCATCTGGGAAGTTGAGGAAGCGGCTGGGGACGCCACGACCCTGGAGGACGTTGAAGATACTGACACCGTCGGCAACAGAGAGACGGAAATCCAAGTCATTGTGAATGATAAGATGAGGAGTAGCGAAGCGGAGAATGCGCTCTGGGGCAGATGGGTCGAAGCGGTCAAAGTTCTCGCGGGCATCCCAGAAAGTGCCGTTGAACTACGAAGCCTGTTAGTGCATTCAAGTGTTGATGCCGGGAGAATACATACGTCGTGTTCCATAAACCAGAGCTCCTCGGTAGCGATCTTAGCGGGAGCGACGAAGGTTCCGTCGTGGGAGACGAGCGCCTTGAATTTTCTTCCAAAGTCGGAACCCTGGATCCAGTTGACCATGAAACCACCGTAACTTGCTCCAGCAGCAATACCATTTTCGGTGTCAATGTAGTCAATGGACCGATCAATGTGTTCCCAGCAGTTCACGAGATCTCTGTAAGGAGCACCTCCTATAATTGCGGCAATTAATAAACGGAATACTTTGATGCCGGTAACAAGGTCACAACTTACCCCAGTCATTTTGAATAGCGTCGGTGAATGCTTGACCCCATCCAGTGCTGCCCGTTGGGTTTGGAGCAACGACGACGTATCCCTGATCAGCCCAGACCTTGGGGTTCCAGCGAGTGCTCCAGGAATCACCCCATGCTCCCTGGGGGCCACCGTGGATGAGGAATGCAAGTGGGTACTTTTTGCTGCGGTCAAAGTTCTCCGGCTTAACAATCCAAGCTTGGACCTATGCCGTTATCAATTAGCAATCAAGTCAATATGAATCTGAAGATGCAGGATTACCTCTTGTTTGTCTCCCTTGAAATAGAATTCATCAACATCCTCAGGGCCAAGTCCCTTCAGCTCAGGATCATGCTCGTTGGCAAAGAAAACCTTTCGTGGTCTGCCGGTTGGGCTGGCAATGTAGTAGAGCGCATTGGACCAGAGAGAAGTAGCAGTGACGAGCACGCGGTCAGATCGCTCGATGAAGTTGAAGGCACTGACAGAGCCGACGTTTTGGATGCGTCGGGGTCTATCGCGTCTTCCTCCCCTGGCAGGGACAGAGAAAAGACGGCCGGTGCCGCGATCATCAGCGGTGACGTAGAGGGATCTTCCGTTCGGAGACCATTTGATAGAGCCAGGAGATCGGTCCCAATCCTCTGCGACGGCCCTGATGCGTGGGGATCGTCCAACAGTCGCGACGTAGATAATGTTTCGGTCAGATTCATAGTTTTCACCATGCATCTGCAAGTATGCAAGTTCTTTGCTATCAGGAGAGAATACAGGAGAGGTAGAGGCACCTCGGACACCTTCTGGAGTTGCGTCACCGTCTCGCGAGTTAATAGGAGTGAAACGAGAAGAGCCGTCGTGGGGCCCAACGAAGATATAGCTGGTGGTCAAGTTGGCCTTTGGCAATTCAGGAGCCTTGCTCATGAATGCGACGGTTTCACCGTCGGGGGAGATATCATAATGCTCGGAGCCACCGAATGGCGGGTAGGGAGACTCGGCGTGCTTGATGGGGGAAACAAGGTTGTTCAAGTCTCCAGCGAGTTTATATTGTCCGTCTCCTCTCTTCAATGTGCCGGAGAAGACAGCATTGAATTCGGTGGTCAGCCAGGTGTCCCAGTGGCGAACGTAGAGACTCTCGTAGATACGTGCACTGGAGTGGTATTTCTTGGCCGTCTCGGGGTTGTAGAGGGTGCCATCGGGTGTCGATTTGCCGTTGGTCAAGAATTTGATGTCACCGTTCCTGGTGCGGACGGCCTTGAGGCCGCTGAGGGGACCTGGTGCAGAACCAGCCTTGTATCTAAGAAGGGTGTTAGTAAATAAAACCAATGTTTGAACAGCATCGGCTTACGCCTTGGAGAAGTCCTTGGTATCGGAGACCCAGAATTCAACACCGCCAGGGGTTTCGGAGCTGGTGCCGTTGATGTAGAGGATTTCAGTGCCTCTGCCGAGCCAGACGATTTCAGACACGTTGGGGTCGTCGGTGAGGGTGGTGATCCTGTTGTTGCGGAGGTCGATGAGATCCCACTCATTCTTGACCGTTTCGTGCTTCTCAAAGGAGTACTGGGTGACGTGGAAGAAGGCAGTTCTCTGTTCCCAATTTGTTAGCAAACGAGCTCTGGTCATGGGTGAGGTCTCAAGCTTACCCCAGACGGGTCCGGAACTGCCTCTCCTCTCCGTGGAGCAGAGATGAACTGCCTGGAAGCAAGCGGTCATGTCAGCATTCGAAAACCTGCCATTACTCTTGTCATTTGCTTACTGTGGAGTCATGGACAGTGCCGGCGACGCCAGCGCGGTGGCTGCGAGGAGCCATTTAGCCATCGCCATGGTTACAGACGAAGACGAGAGCCCAAAGAGGTGACTTGATGTGATCGACTGTTCATCTCCCCGATTGTGGGAGCATGGGGCGCTTTAAATATCCAGACAGCCAGCCCTGCTCGGTCCAATCGTGGACTCAAGGCACCCAGGGGAGCGGAATCCCGTCTCTGTCCGTAATCCTCCCCTCATTTCGCTGGTGTACTCACGCTAACCTGTCGAGTATAAAGTGACAGAGTTCTACGACATCGCAGAGTTTGGGATCCAAGAAATGCATCCTTGCCCTTGCTGGCCAGGAAAAGCTTCGCGGTGGATTTGAGAGCAGGAGCACATTATTATGGGATCAAACCGCACGCAGTCTCTCTACCTTGAGGGAGCATACATGTTCCCCAGTCGCCGGCGTTCTTGCAGGCAAAGCAGCAAATGAATGCAAACCGTCTCCATCGTTCCACAGGATCAGCTGTCGGAAACTGGATTCCAGCCAGATACGGGTTGCGGAGAGAAGGTGACATTTGGGCATGGGCCAGCTCGTTCCTCCAGCACAATCCGTGATGCGAGAGAGAAGGAATCCACGGGTAATCATGGCTCTCGAGGTTACAATGCCAAGTCTGAAGAGTTCTTCCAGAGACGCTGGACTCCGCATTTTCCCAGAGTCGATGAAGCCAGGTCCCAGGGAAGGATTCAAGAGCCGGATATTTCAAGCATTGCTGGCCTGGGGAAGGGATCAGCAACGCTCAACCCCAAGGCCCAGCTGTGCTCCCTTTGATACGCTGGAGGACGGAGGCACAACAAGGGTCTTCCTGGCATATCACGTCGCTAGCTTTCGGCTAACTAAATTAAAAGTCGCCACGATCAACCGCTAGGGACGCCGTGTCTGGCTTCTTCTCGACATGCTCGTCCCGCGAAAGTGACAGCAATCAAGAAACAGGCAGGGAAACGACGGGTGAAACACTACGGAGCACTGGGAGGAAAAGTGCCAATAATAACACATCGCGAGTGGAATATCTCAGCTACAATGAGGATCGATCTTGTACCGTTCTCGCAAGGTGCCTGGCAATCCCTGGAGAAATTTCCGAAGCGTGTCCTGGTCGACAGCTTCATGGATGATGACATGAGCAGTGAGCACGGCGGGGAAGCATGCCGTCAACGGGATGATCGACTTCGTGTTCTCTGGGTGCTTCAATTCACCCAGCTGAACGTGCCAATCGTCTTGAGGCTTCGGCGATCAAGACTCACCGAAGCTTGCTTGATTCCGCTTTGCATCCTTGGGCAGCACGGTGGGCTTCAATCACCGTATTGTGGAGCGGGACATTCATTTCCTAGGCGTCAGTCCAAATCGTTCTTCCGGCTCTACGGGAGTTCTGGAACTTCTTCAAATAATGCTTGCACGGCGAAAACCTCGGCGATATAACCTTGTACGAGGTCATGTGCAATCTCGCCCAACATGGAGACTAATCCCATATTATCAAGCTTTCGCAGACCGTCTTTGAGATCCTGTTGAGAAGAAGAGGAAAAGACAAGGGGTTCACATGTAGCTATTTCTATCCTGACGAAACTGGCTGAAACCCTGCACTCATTCCAGACTTGGAGCGAGGGCGACCAAGCTGAAGCCAAAATCCCCTTCACCGGCTTCACTTTTCTTTCCAGTGAATGTACGAATTCCAAGATTCAACGCATTTTCACTCAGACAGTCTTCATCAGCTCCCAGAGCGCCTCGATCAAGCGGACCTTTTGTTCCACCATTCAACTCCCACAGATGGCCATCATCTCCTTTCACAAAACTAATGAAGTGGAATCCACATTTATCCCCAGGGTTGGGAGCTCGCGTGTCGCCTCTCTGAGCGGCAGAACGATGTGCAGCTTCCAGCACCGGCGAATCGTACAGCAATTTCGCACGGTCTATGCGAGATAGTGGTACAGCGGCTTTGAACAGTTGATCAAGCCCCGACTCTGGCTGAACAAACTGACGGGCTGGCCCGTTGCCAATACAGTGCAAGAGGGCCATTAAGCCACAGGCGTTTCCAATGGTTTGCTCAAACCACAAAACCGGTTCCTCCGGACCAAAACCTTCATAATAACTTCTACCAGCTTCTTCAACGTCACGGGCTCGATGATAGACATCTCCATGGCAGATGAAGATTAGCCCGTACACAGGGCGGGGGATAAACGAGAGCAATTCCGCATCGTCAATGCTGTAGACGTCGTAGAAACCAAGCGCCGGGGAGACGCCCAGGTGGTGTACCAAATGGGACATAACGTCCGGGTTGTTCTCTGGGGTGAACCCGCAAAATCAGCATGATCTGAAGCTCGGCAAGGTCTTTGAGAACCAACTACCTAATGGCACGAAAGTCTTCTTCCCGTTGATGTACTCGACGTCCGGTCGTTGATCCGTAGCCATGGTGTCGTTCCTAAGATGAGAAATAACCCCAAAGAGTATTTGCTTCCTTTCCAATCCAGCTCAAAACTTCGCCAGTTCACTCTCTGCAACTGGTGTCTCGAGAGGAAAAGATGATGCTCCGCGTTAATGCCAAAGACAAGCTGACTGCCAGGCAACCGCCGTCAACGCGTTCGAAGCACATGACTGAACATCACAATCTTCGACGGCTTTACTCTGTTCGCTCCATGCTCAGCTACAACTCTGCGCGGGACAGATTTGTCTTTATTCTGTTTCATGTCCTCAATATCTGCTCTATCTGAGGGCAAGCTGACTCCAACCAACTACGTACAGCCGTTTGTCTGTGCCTCGCAGCCATCATCAGTGCCAACCGACTATTATTGACGACTCTCGACTCTCCCAGCTTGGGCCGAGATGCTCAAGATCCCAATGTAACTCGAATCTCCGCTAACTGCACAGTGTAATTGACTGGATATTCTCCGTGCCCAGCTCCTTCGGCCCATTTTGACCAAATCCTCCGGCTATCAACGGGCTGGGATGTTTCACAACGAATGACTAGCAAAGGAACGTGAGCGTTTCTGGAACTAATTGGACGGGTTCGCGCACATGAGTGTACTTCCAGGGATCAATAAATAAGAAATCGCTTTTGCCAGCAAGGAACCGCGAATACGATCACTCCCACTGTTCGTACATATAAGGTACCATCCGATGCCAATAAGCTCCGGGTTGAGAGGGTCGCATCCGCGAAAGACTCTCAGACCCGTGAATCAACGGTGTGTGGTCAAAGTTAGCTAGCAATTTATATCAGCTAGAATTATTTTCGCGTCCCCTTGCCCGCGCAGAGTTACAGGAACGAAAAAGAAAGAAAGGGCGTGCAACAGCTAGGATTCCAATCTCGCGCGGGACAAACGGGACCCTGGGCAAGCTTGAGCTGCATCAATCAAATGATGATCGGTTTGCTAGATTTGCCCTGCAGCCATACTGGTCGACAAGAAAAGAGGTAATTCCAGGGTTTATTTTTATCCAGTTTCCTCCGGCCCTATTCCACTGGTCTCGAGGCTGAATCGACTTTCACATTTCGATCATACCCAAATGGACTGCCAGTCATTTCGGTATCAGGTCAGCAACAAATAATGGCCAGATCGACTGCATGCATGGTGATGACTATTTTCTGATACCCTCCCACAAATCTGCCCTCTTTATCTTTACAAAAGGGTTCGGCCATAGCAAGTTGCATAAACTCTAGCGGCGATGGGGAACGAAGCGCTCTTCTTGAGGCCAGGTAGGAATGAACAGTATCCAGCTGGGAAGGATCCTCTTGCACTCTTTTCAGTTGAGTTATCAACACTCTTTCCACTTCTGCCACTACTTGCAATCCCCACAAATCAGATGGAAACTTCTCAGGAAAGCTCGGCGCATTGAGTCTGTCCGATATATTCAAGACTCCCAAGACTCATATACACGATGATGAGTCGAAAAGCATCAAACTCCCTTTATTTCTCGGTTCAAACGGGAAAATCAAACGAGCCTAGAAGCCCCGTGCCTCACTTAGCACGTTGAAAGGTCCCAAGATGTTTATGTTCCGGTCGCACCGAAGATCAAACAATACCAGCTGCACCATTAATTGAAGCCATTTAGCCAACCGGCTGGGCGGGAGTTGCAGCATTCAAGGAAACACTCTTCACAATGCTGGTATGGTAGGCCAGCACTTCCATATGCCTCTGGGAGCTGCGGTAACTTCGGCCGTCAAGCCATCGAGGTCAGTAAAACAGTTGCCTTATCACAACTGACAAAGCTTCAATCAGTTTGGAAGGCGTTGCTTTTTGATTCAGCACGCAACAGCTTTGCTTGGCTCAAGCTACAAAGCAAATCGATGGAGTGCAGCACAAAGGCAGAACTGTTAATCCCCATGTGTTAGATTCCAGTGGTATCCAGCAGATATGAGATGCATTACAAACCTTATGGAAGAGGACTGTTAAGCTCTCTTTGACAAAAGGTACCTGACTTCAGTAAATTGCCACACTTCTCCATCTATTGATGGGTTTAGCTTCAATGCAAGATGCATCTCCACGGCTCTTGATCAGAAAATGACTTTGACACAAACATTATTTGTGAACCAGGAAAACGATGCCGATAAGACAAGCTAGGATGTTCATCAAGTATCGCAAGTGAGTTTGTAAAAGTGCTTGGAGCTCGGGAACCGATGTTTCTCCCTCGATATATACAGCATGAAGTTTTAAGGATTGGATGAGAACAGGCTAGGATGGAAAAATAACCAGCCACCATATGGTCATAAATGTCTTTTAGGTGAAGATAATGTGACGGGATACTAGCTATACTAGCTCCACGAATGGAACTCGGGAGAATTCGCACCATGCGGTTGGAACCCGTTAATAGACGGTCGCATTCGTATCCCCAAAGCTGAGAGTGCGTGTCGCGGCTGCCTGATGCTGAGGGCATATATCATGCTGTCTTTGCGCTTCAAGCTTTCAACGTTTCTCATCCTCTGACAGCGTCACGATGGCGCCCATACGCAAGGTCGCCATTTTCGGTGTAAGTGTCCTAGTTATGTCTTCGGCATCAACAATCCAACACTGACAGCCCTACTGGCATCGGGCAATTTTGGCAACCCCATCACCACAGCTCTCCAAGGTGCCGGATTTGATATCACCATAATCACACGACTCCAATCTACCGCAACTTTCCCGCCCGGAATCCCCGTGGTCAGAGCAAGCTACAGTTTTGAGGACCTGGTGAAAGCGTTGGAAGGGCACGATGCTGTTGTCTGCGTCGTTGGCCCCGCCGGGATCCAGTACCAAGCTGTCATGGTTGAGGCTGCTGAAGCTGCAAAGGTGAAACGCTTCATTTTGAATGATTTTGGCTGGGGACCAGACATCCGTTCGTTGCCCGAGTTTCATGACATCCATGCGCAGCGCCGTGCGGGATGGGATCGGGCACAAGTGCTGGCGAAGGCCAATCCGGAATTTACTTACACTGGTATCACCACCGGAAATCCAATCGATTGGGTAAGTCGTCCTCCCCCAATATATAGCTGGATCTATTCTACAAATCTTACTTCCAAGGCTTTACAAAAATTCCCGCTCATGGGTTTCAACATCGCACAATCTTCTGCTATCATTTACGATTCGGGGACAGAGCGATTTACCGGCACAACGCTGACTGGCATTGGACAGGCTGTGGTAGGTGTGTTGCAGCACCCCAAAGAGACGGCAAATAGATTTGTGAAGGCGCAATCCATTCAGACCTGTCAAAATGAGCTTCTGGAAGCTTTCGAAATTGTCACGGGTAAAAAATGGGATGTCCAGAAATCGTCCGTCAAGACCCTTCTGGAGAGTGGACGGAGCAAGGCTCAAGCAGGCACAGGCGGTTGGGTTTTAGATTTGGTTGTGGCTCAGTTGTTTGAAGAGGGCGAGGCTCGTTGCATGGTGGCACCATCAAGGGAGGAATCTGATGCAGAGTTGCTGGGAATGGAAGCAGAATCTCCGCAACAGGTCGTGTCTAGAGCTTTGTCCAGGGCTTCGAATGATACATAAAGGCTATTGCAGCTGGTTCGTTAGACAAGAAGCTGAATAAATCAACCAGTCACTATTGCTATCCGTTACTCACCCCCATCGTATGTTCAGAATTTGATGCTCTTCTCCGTAGAGTATTAACGCAGATGCTTGTGTTTGTTATCGGCTTTTTAGAGTTTGATCGGCAGGAACCCGCGATATCGCCTCGGCAAAACTGATCCAGACAATTCCAACGGTAACGGCGACAAGCTGCTGCGCATCTACGCTTTTTCGCCTGTATTAGATATTCAAGTTCATACACATCAGCGGCATATTTATCAGATGAAAGCTCATCATCACCACTAGAACCGGCGCATTTTTTTCACCAGGCTACAAACGACACAAACACCATGCAAGAAACCCTCCAGTCCAGCATTCTGCGCTCCCCACCATTCTACTCCGCCGACGGTATCGTCAATCTCCGTGATGTAGGGGGCTACGCCGTATCCTCAACCAGTTCTGTGAGGCGCAATTTCGTTTATCGTTCAGCGCACTTGTCTCGAGCTACGTCCGAGGGCGCCAGAGCCCTCGTCGAGCAACTCGGGATCACCAAAATCTATGACTTCCGTTCCGTTCCCGAAACAATCAAAAACCCGTCTTGTGAAATTCCCGGGGCAGAACGGTTGCATGTCCCCGTTTTCACAGACCAAGATGCCAGTCCGGAAAACCTAGCCTTGAGATATCGGCATTATGCATCGGCAGACGGCCCGAAAGCGTTCATGCATGCGTACAAGGAGATATTGAGAAGTGGAGCAAACGGGGCGTACAGAGCCGTTTTCGAACATATTAGGGACCGGCCAACGGAGCCGTTACTGTTCCACTGCACGGCTGGAAAGGACCGAACAGGCGTATTTGCGGCCCTGGTCTTGCGCGTCGCTGGCGTACGCGATGATAGTATTATCGGTCGAGAATATGAGCTCACTGAGGTTGGGTTAGGCGCCTTGAGGGAGGAATTTATACAGAATCTGCTAAAGCACCCTGCTTTGAAAGACGACCCATCGGGTGCGTATAGAATGACTTCAGCAAAAGCTGAAGCAATGGAGGCGACGCTGGAATGGTTGGATGCTACATATGGCTGTGTTGAAGGATACATGAAGGAAGCTATTGGGTTTGGGGGCGATGATATTGAAAAGATCAGGAGGAATCTTGTGGTGGAAGAAAAGGCAGTTTTGTAACGGCTATAATCAGGTGGAGACCCGAACGTCTGTTTATCTGGTTATCGAGGTTAACGAAGCCATGATGGCACGAAGAATGATAAAATATGACATACCAGATAGATTATGCTTTATATCGAATCAGATTACCAGTTCTCCCAAACAGCAGCTGGGAGCACGGTTCTCATAATTCTCCAGTGCCCAATTGCACTTTGCGAGTGCCAGTTTTCAAGTTGGCTAACTTGGTTTTTCGTTAAGATTTCTGGATCTTTGCTATTCGTGTTCCGAAAGGTTTCCTGGGGGATCTCAAATTTCGGGAACATGTATGATTCTCTTGACAAGCTCCCCAGGTAATCAGCGTTGGTTGGTTTTCTGAATTCGGGTAAATGTTTCGTCTTTTTGCAGAATATCACCATGTTGGTAAAGTCACCTGCTGGCCCAGCGGTGGGTTCGCCTTCACGAAAGATCCTGCATGATGAAAATGCAGCTAATATGGTCCGCACTATAAGACCAGCTGAAGGTAGGGCTAAATCACCCGCGTAATTCTATGATTTAGATGGTAATCCGTTAGCGTATCACGTTGGGCTATATTGATAATGAGGACGCGACGAACAATTGCGATTACTCCGTCGTCCTGAAGCAAGTCGCGTAGGCCGTGCATAAAATCCAACGTAAACAGATCCGCAGGTTCAACACCGCCGGTAAAAACATCATGTACAATAAAATTATAGCGAGATGGCGAATGGGATTTTCTCTCACGTTGGATGAAAGTATTCGCATCTTCGATCACGGATACCGCTTCGCTCGGGAATTTGAAGTATTCAGTAGCTAACCTATACACCACTGGGTCTATTTCAACAACCGTAGTGTTTATCCCATGAGCAACAAGTGCAGCGGGCATAGTTCCGATTCCGAGGCCGCTACACGCTAATTAGCTGGAGATACACACCACATCGGGCTCAAGCACGTTACATGACAAGGGCGTTGGTGCCCGGCCCTGCTTGTCGCCGATCCCCGTTATCCAGATTGATCAACCTAACGGCCTCCAGCATCGTGAAAACCGCATATATGGGATCTCGAACTACTTGTTTTGACACGTCCGCAGGCGGAATCCATTCTCCACCAAGAAGACTATGATCACATCTCATGACCCTGAAATTAAGCTGGTTGTTCTCGAGCACCGATAGGTAGCCAGTCAACGACTCTTGACGGTGCAGCAGAGTGTAATTATTTGCCTGAAGTCGAGAGTTCAGCCTCGCTGTGGTAATATCAGAAGGGACGTGAACATTGAACGCGACCGAAAATATCAGAGATGGAATAGCAAATAAACCCCATTTCGATGGTAAGCATATCGAGTATAACGATGCTACCATAAATTGAAGTCCGGCCCGAGTCATCAGGCTGCTTGATCCTATACGGTTGGACATGACCCCTCTTGTTACTTTCAACATGGTAGTGAATAGGACGTACAGTCCCAGGAACTTCCCCTGACCAGCCATCAAGCTATATCCAGTGTTAGGACTGGAGTTTCCCAGGAGTATCGCCGCTGAGGCGACCGAGAGCACGACCAAAGGATATAGGGTACAGAGCTCCGTGACGAATGGTCCAAATATAGGCCCAAGTCTACTACTGAGCTGAAACATAAAATATTGTATAGTCGGAATACTCCAGGCAAGGACTGGTAGCAGCTTCAAGGGTATTTTAAAGCAAACGACTTTGACGCGTCCAATTCCGAACCATCCGATAAGACCAGCAATCATAACACCTTGTCGATGAAAGGACGCCGCAGGTACGGATCCATAGACCGGCGATAATGTCAGCTGAGAGACATGCGAAGAGATAGCGGCTAGAACAACCACGGCCACGCCCTGGAAGAACGATTTCAACACATTTTGAGCATAGGCCTGCTGAGAATCCCTGCCATTATCCCGCGCATCGCGAGCTTCACTAGCTGAAGCTCTGTCCCTACGAAGGGATCCTGTTTTTGGCATGATAAGTGTGGCAAATTGACGAGAACCGGCAATCCAGAAGCTGTTCTGCTGCACCTGGACAAAAGGCACGGATTGTAGTCTCGCGAACGATAGAAGAAAGTAGTGATAAAATAGCTATACAAGTAGAATCAACAGCCCAAATGCTGATACAGTGAAAGAAGTGACCTGCCCACAGCAATCAATATACAGCACACCATGCCGTCTCATATAGCAAAGCGGATGCTTTTGAGCAGTTGATGTTGAGCTGTTTCAGGGCAAGACCAAGTTCAGGGCTGACTAAACAAACGGGTTAACATACTTCCCCACCCAACGAACATCCCCACCCACCGAACACCCAAAACTTGCTTAATGAACTTTCAACCCTCCAGCTTCAAAATTCAAAATATGGTCAATGAGGAATCTATATGTCTTGCAATTAAGGATTTGGAAGGTTAGGAGATCCCTAATTTCAAATCTACTGCTGAAAAATATGGAATCAATCAAATTACATTGATGTGGTGCTTTAAAGGTCAACAGATCTCAAGATCTGATGCAGCTTTAATTCACCATAAAAAGCTGTCAAATCCTCAAGCTCTCATTCTTTTGAAGCATATAGAGATTCTTTCTGAATGTGGAATCTCTGCTACATCTAGAATAATCATGAATCTTGTTGCAGAAATCACTAATGAGGACATTGGAAAGAACTGGATCTCTTGCTTTTGCAAGGAGTACACAGATCAGATTAAAAGTATATATATACAGACAATTGATCAGAAGCAGAAGACTGCAGACAACTCATTCTTCTTTCTAAGCTTCTTTACTATGATATTTATCTTATTTCATTCTTTTTTACATTCATTTGACATGTCTTTACTGACAGATAATCTCTCATTCTTCCAGCTTGAAGAAAAGATCAAGAAATATCAAATTAAGCTCTCAAATTCATACAATTTTGATGAGAAAGGCATAGTTCTTGATCTTATACAAACCATGAAGCAAATCCTTACTCTTGATGCATTAAATTCAAAACAGATATTGAGATCTATGCAGTCAGAAATTCAAGATTCCATCTCAATTCTTGTCTGCATTTGTATGAATGGAACAGCACTTCCACTGTGCTTAATCTACAAGAAGAAGTCAAGAGATATGCAAGATAGTTGACTCACTGATTTTGATAGCTTAAAGCATCAAGCTTATTTCACTGCTTCTGCCAATGGATGGAGCAATGATGAATATGAGTTGAAATGACTGAAGATCTTTGACAAGCATACAAAGAATAAGACAGAGATGAGTTGGAGACTTCTCATTCTGAATGATCATTCATCCCATGTTAATATGACATTTATTAATTATGCTGACCAGAACAAGATTATTCTCACTATTCTTCCACCCCATTCAACCCACTGTTTACAGTCTCTTAATGTTGAAATATTTGATTCTTTGGCAAATGCCTACTCTATCCAATTGAATCTTCATTTATGATCTGGATTGGGCTATATCAGCATGACAAAATGTGATTTTTAAAAGATATTCCATACTGCTTGAATTGAATCTGTAACAAAGAAGAATATCAAATCTGCTTTTGAAGCTACTGGCATCAACTCTTTAAACTTTAATAGAGTTCTCAAGATCTTTGAAAATCAGCCAAATTTAAACAAACAACAGTCAATTACTCCTCAATCCACCAAACAGTCTATAATCCCTACAACTGTCTGGGAGGTTCAAAGAATGATTAAATTTATACATAAAAAGCAGACTCATGTTAATCAGCATATTGAGAAGCTTATGCATGCTGTTGAGCATCTTGTTATAGAGAAGAAGATTCTGAAGCATGAGAATAATACTTTGTGTTATCAAACTTGTTGTCCAACATAACAAATTGGGGCTTTAGTGATCAATACTTTAATGGTGCTTGATCTCAAGTCAGCAGACTTGCCCAATGGCAAAGAGTTTTCATACAGATATGTCAGAGTTGGGTCAAGGCTGTCATGCCTCCTCAAGAGTAGTGAGAGCAGATACAATTGTACAGTATCACAGAACTTCATTGATATGGAAAGTAATCAAGATATGATAGTATCTGTATAGATAATTCTATAGAGAATTGTAAGAGAGGAAAGATTGATCATGATGAATGAATCCATCTGATCAACAGTAAAGAGTGTTCTTATATACATGATGGGTATAATGAATAGTTCTGGATAGTCCTTCACCCTGTTCTTCTATCCTGCTTGTTCAGTTCAGATAGTTGTGATCAGTTATTCACTGTTCTGTCTATCCATGACTATCCAATCACATGACTTTCACCTCTTGAGTTCTAGTTCTTCCAGTTCATAACTCTTGTAGCCTCATCATGCTCCACTTTTCAGTCACATCCTCCATATGCTCTTTCAATGACATGCAATGATTCTGTGCTGTGCCATAAGATTTATAACATCATCTTCTTCTTTCTTAGTGTGTTGTCCTCAATCACTTGCACTCCCTCTTGAGTATAAAGAGTGATTGTCCCCTTGCTTGATTTCTCAAAAGATTTTTCTTCCTGTAAGTGAATGTTCTCATGACTCTGTTGCCATGACTTCAAAGTCTTCTTGCAATAACAAGTGTCTAGCTTCCAAAATTGAAGAAATTGGTGTTGTGATGTCTTCTTGCTGTGTTTATTGTTCTCATCACAATAAAGAGTGTGTTCATTCTGATAAATCAATAAAGTGTTCTGAATGTTGTTGACTTGGTTGTCATTGTGTTATGGATTGTGATTCTTCTGATTGAGATTGAATCAAGCTCCATTCCACCTGTGCCAAATTAAAAGCTAATGAATCCTGTACTCACACTGAAATTCATGCTGCACAGTCCTCAATTTCTTTCTTGTTTGTCAAAATTAACTGTCTGGAACGCCAACAGGAGTTCCTAGAATCTTGTGCTGATAAATTTCTTGAATCTGAAGTTCAGACAATTGAGAAGTTGGAGTGTCTTGAGGAGGAAGAACAGAAGAGAGTGGCTGAGCAAGCAGAAATTTAACAATATCTTGCTACATTAGACAATCTTTCTCTGTTGGAATCACTTCCTGAATTCTTCTTTTCATTCATTAATACTCTTTTGAATGAGGGTGTTATAAACCTTGCAGCACAGCACAGAATCATCACACATTATTGAAAGAGCATATGGAGGATGCAACTGGAAAGTGGAGCATGATGAGGCTACAAGAGTTACAGACTGGAATAACTAGAATCTGGAAAGATG